ATGTAAATTGATGAAAAATAAAAAAAAAAAAAGAAAAATCGAAAAATCATAAAAGTTTTTTGGAATTAAAAAATTTGACTTATACAAGAATGAATAGTGCGAGAACGGTTTAGAAAAAATATATATCAAATCTAATCCAGAGATCTTAATTAAAATCCTTCGAGTTGTCTTATGGGCCCCTTAATTAAACTTTCGTCACGCGAATATCAACGCTTTTTTTTTTCGTTCCACGGCGGAAACGACAGATATAAAACACATTCTTACGGTAAATTTCTTGCCTGTTTCAGATCCACGAACACATGACAAGGGAGGAGATGTTATCGGTGTTTCACACAGGACACGAGTCTGGTAATCACAATAAAAAAAAAAAAATAAAGAAAAGAAAATTAAAATTATCTAACAGATAGGCAGCCATGTTCTCTTTCAATTTAAACACTATTCACATTTACTGCCTTACGAAGAAATCGAATTCTTTAAATTAAATTTATTTTCCATTGTATTCTCTCATTAACATATTCGAGATGAAACAAAAAACGCGTTATTGCGCAAGCGCAGAAATTATGCTGGTTTTCTATTCGTCGAGATCCATCCGCCATTTTTTATTTCCATTTTCAAATTTCAAATCGAACAAGCTTCGAACAAACAAAGGATTAATTAATTAAAAATATTTGACAAGTTAATAATATTCTCTGGCGAGATTTCAAATCGATTTTGATATTTCGAAAATATTTAGAAATAATGAAACGAAGAAAATTTTTCTTCAAAGATTCGTTTCAGTGTGACAACACTTCGATTCATTATTTACGAGTGAAACAATCGATTTCAATTTTACTTTCACAATTTTAATCAAGGTTGATCGTTAATTTACATCATTAGTAGAGAGTATTACGTATCTCTATTTGCATTTACTTTAAAAACACAAAGTGTCGTGAAACTTAACGTTGACTGACTTAAAATTATTTATAAAAACCAGTAACTTAAAGTTAAATTTAAATAATTCTACGAAACAATTAAAAGGAGAAAAAATTTAATTGATAATATCATTTTTATTACAAAATCATATTTTGTATTAATATTACGTGATATAAACTGGAGATTTACTTAATCAAAAATTGAATAAATAAAAATTGCCTGAATGTAATCGCAATGTAAAACCATAAAGAAAGATAAAAAAGACAAATTTTTAAATTCTAGTACCGACGTACGAGATTGTGCCTGTGTTGCATTCGGTGCACAAAAGGAGTACAAGGGAGCCGGAGATACACTTGAAGGCCTTCGGGAAGGACATCAGTCTGTCGCTAAAGCCTACGGAAGGGTTGCTCAGAGGAAATCATTTGCCCATGTGGACCGTCACGAAGAATGCGTCGCAACCTGATGGCCTCCGCTATGAGAAGGTGACGAATGTAAGTTTTCCGCATACATTGCGAAAAATTATTTTTAATTTTATCTTTTTTTTTTCCCCCCTCTCTCTCGAAAAAAAATTAATTTTTTACTCGATCTTTCCACACATCTTTTGTTTGCGAGTATTTAAAAATGAAAAGAAAACGAATCAGAAAACCAAATAAATGCAAAATTGTGCAGAATCGCATTAAAATCCTCGTCAAGCATTTCAAAATATATTTTAATATTATCTTTCAGCATTTATCCTCGTCCTCGACCACAATATAAATTCCCATTCCTTTCGTCATGTCATTCGACATTTAACGAGACACGTTAAGGTGGAAGGCAAAAAAAATGAGGCCTCTTCTCTTCTCTCTCAATTTTTGCCCCACGGAGTTTGCATTATCCCTTTAAATGGTCGAAATCGCATAAAATCGTATCTCTACGTATGGCAAACAACACCGTGGCCACACATATTTTAATAATTGTTCTTCCCGTTTCAGGCCGACGTGGATATCGGTGACATCTATCAAGACACGACGAACATGGCGTCCATTCTGTTGCACCGGGACACGAATGGGAAAGTGCTCGTTGTAAGAAGCTATTCTTTCTTAATGCACCCTTTCGAAATTCCCGCCATTATTGCGGGCTCGTCTTTCGTCAACTGGCGCGATTCACTTAGGAGCCGCGTCTCGGTTATAATTACCGTAATACCGCGTGAATCGTTGTCGTGGAATTAGCAGAGACACGATTAAGAAAAGATTGTAGTGAATCATTCTTACGACGTCTGGCAATTCGTGAAACAAGAGAGTAGGAATTTAACGACACGAGACATGAGAGAAAAATTTATCGAAAACGTTTAACGTGGTAACCTAATTAATTAACCTAACCTAATCTAATCTCTTTTTTAATATTAAATCCTATTTTCTATTTTATTCCGTAAATTCCTTGGTGTTGAATCGAAATAGTGCTATCCTACTCGATTTTTCTCAGTTTTTCTTGTCAAAAAATTTATATTCATGAAAGATTTTTAAACTTTGTATCGAAAGATTAAAATGGTTGGAATCGTCAATATGTTTGATATTTAAAACAAAAGTAAGGTTAAAATTGTTTGTTTGTTCAGAAATTTTTCCACGTGCTTTTATAATCATGCTATTTATCAAATAGTTACGCATTTGACAAACAAAATGGAACATTGGAAACGAAGAAAAGTTACACGAAATGACATTTCGCGATCGTTTTGACATTTCCATTTCGAGCTCGGGTAATCGCACAAAGCGCGTTACGAAGATATCGCTTGTGCAAAACCACGGAAAAAAGTAATAAAATTCACTATATCGGTTTCATCTTGCAGAACAGTAACTTATAGCTCACTAGGTAGCTAGCTATATACTCCTGATTATGCGTCCAACCGACCGAGACTCAATTTCACTTAGGAAGTTCGATCTTTTATGAAGTCGTAAAAAAAAAAAAAAAAAAAAAAAAAAAAAAAAAAA